TTTATTTATTTATTTATTTATTTATTTATTTAATGCTTGATTGGCTCTTTGATCTATAAAATAATTAATTTATTTTATATTCAACCAAATAACCCTAAAGTATTTTAAATAAAAATATTACACATGCACATTCATAAAAACTTGATGATAGGTGTTAGATGATGGCGGCCAGCTGGCAACTGTGATTAAAGATGATATTTGATAGACTTAGGCGGTCGCAAGCAACAATAGCTACAACGACCGCCAGGACTACAACGACCGCCAGTAGGAGATGATAGTGGTGAGCGACAAGTGGGGGACAGTGGGCAACAACAGGTAATATATTTGTATAATGTATTTTGAAATGGACCGCTACAACGACTGCCAGTAGGAGATGATACTGGTGAGCGACAAGTGGGGGACAGTGGGCAACAACGGGTAATATATTTGTATAATGTATTTTGAAATGGACCAATTCTAGAGTAATTCTAATGCACATGAAATGAATTGCAGTTATATGGAGAGTTCGAAGTTTTCTTAAATTTTACACTATATTCTAAATTCTTGAAACCAAACAATAAAATTATTTAAATTCCCCTTAAAGTCTTGCAACATAGTCTCTCTAGCTTTGAAATCATTGTTCACACTATAAAACTTTAACCTAAATATCCTTTAGTCATCACAATACTAGCTATGAATTTGTCAAAATCATTATCAAATAACAATTTATTCATCTTTGAATCATGATGAAACCATCTTCAAACAAAAATAGATCATGATTAAATATCCTAGAATCATTTTAAAACTTTCAAACATGATCCAAATAATAATTGAACATCGGACACATAGGGCTAGATTATGACTCAAAATAGTTTGAATATAATTTTAAGATGATTACATCACATTTGAAGATGGCTTGATCGTGGTTCAATGACTTTAATAATAATTCAAAGAACCATCAATCATAATTTTTAATATGGTTTAAAGTTGATTCAAAGATGTTTGATGATGGTTTAATTATGAATCATCTTATTTTACTCACATTGCCTATTTTAAAAGTTATTCGTTTGAGCTATTTTTTCATGTATGCATATTAAGGCTTTGCATTACTAAAATTACATATAGAGATAAGAGTGTGGTGGAAAAAATTATTGAATGTTTTAAAGCTAATTATTTCATTATCTAGGCTAGTAGATTATCTCTCACACAACTTTTAAAATGTCATGCATTATAGTTTTGTGAGTCCCTTAGCATTACTTTTTATTAAGGATAATAGAGAATAAGGGCTACTTTACTATGTTCAATATTAGGAGAAAAGATGTAATAATTGTCATTGTTAACTTGCATTGATCATTGAACTAGACTTTAGAGAATACCCGCCTAAGGTGGAATCCCATAAGATGGGTAGAAGTATTAGACAATTAAGTGACTATGAGGGATAATATCTAAAAGTTTGAGTTGTATTTTCTTGTAGTATGTGTACTTCTTAATCATAATAAACAGAACATTATTTATTGCAATACTTTAAGTGGTTGAAGATGACAAAATTTATTTTTTGATATCGAAAGAGTAAGATGTCATGGGGGAGGACAATAAGAGATTTGAAGTGGTATATGTTTCATTATGAGGCCACTATCTAAATATGATGGTGTTAAGATGTATTATAATCTAATAATAAAAAAAATTAATTTGTTGTCACAAAATTAAGGAAAAAAAAGATAATTATGATGTTTTAGAACTTAAAATTTAGCTCAATTAAATAAAATATATTTAAGATTCAGAGATA